TTAGTGCCGCCGCCGCAAAAATTTGGCAGCGCTTCCGTACCACCGCCGTAAAACTTAGTGCCGCTGCCGCAGAAATTCGGCAGCACTTCCCCACCGTGGTGGAAAAATGGCAGGCCAAAATTAGTAAAATTTGGGCCCAGGCCCAAATTCCACTTTGCCGCACTGCCTTAGCCCTGCAGCGCCACTGGGTCTGTCCTGTGGGACCAGCACCAGCCAGAGGGGAGGGGAACAAAGTGTTCCCTGCCTTGGCTATGGCTGCCCAACTCCTCCTCGCGCGCTCCTCTGCAGAACTCCAGTCCCTCTCCCTCGTTGCTCTGGCAGCCCCCCATCAGCCAAGCAACACTCAAGTGTGCACGTCACTCAATGACACCACGAGTGCTTTGTGTGGCAGCTGGGGAACAACTGCCAGATTTATAGTGGCTGAGGAGGGCTGGACGTCACTCCAGCCCCCAGGCAAAATCGCGGGCTCACAGTGAGCCCTTGATCTGGCCAAGATCCAGGGTTGACTCTAGCCGCACCACAACCACAGCCTTAGTGTGGGGCAGTTTCTTTAACTGCCCTATTTTATTTTTTCTTCTCTTTTTCCCAGCTATCTCAGAATCTCACGAGATAGTTGGGCTCCTGCCATTTCCAAATCTGTTTTTCTTTTATTTTTTTGACAAGGGGTTGGAGAAATACAACCCCTTACAGTTTGATGTAGCTGGACCCTTTTCCCAGGGCAGATACATCGGGGAAAAGGTTGTACCTAGCCTTTTCCTTAGTGGCCCTTCAATTTCCAGGCTCCCTTCAAAAACGGGAGCCTGACAGTTACGTAGCACCACGTGAGGACAAGTGTCCTCACGAAAAGCAAAGAAAAAGAAAAAAGAGTAAAGAAAAAATAAAGAAAATTTTAGCTCCTTCAACTGCAATGCTCCTGGCCTCGATTTGAGCCAGGAGCATGCAGTTGTCTGCCAACAGCATGCTCCTTCCTTCTGCTGCCCTCCCCTAAAAACGGGGGGTACAGTTGTCAGGTTGCGAGAGGTAGGTCCTCCTCCTCCCAACCACCCCGTTTCTCTCTCTCTCCCCCATTTCAACTCCCTCAGTCCCTTCTTTGCGTGCGCACTGCAGGCCGCGAGATTCAAGATCTCGCGGCCACAGTAAGTCCTCCCAAAATGAAGTGGGAGCATTTGTGCTCCCACAGTCTAAAAGACTTCTTTTTAGTTTTTCTTCTCGTTTTTTTTTTTTTTTTTTTTTTTTTTTTTTTTTGCGGGTTGTGATCCAACAGCCACGAATCGAAAAAGAAGAAACGAAAAGAATTAAAAGAAAGAAGACAAAAAAAATCAAAAAAAAAAAAAAAAAAAAACTTACCTCAATGGGTGATTTAGCACGGTTGCCTTACCTCAACGGCCGCAGCAGCAGCAGTGGCTTGGCCACTGCATGAGAGGGATGTATTCTCCCGCGTTCTGGCGGGAGATTCATTCGATTTTGCTCATCCTATAGTTGTTGGCTGTAGAGGTTTCAACCTCCTGGGGCGAGGTCCCATTAGCAGTCGGATAGGAGTGTGGCCGATCCAGTGTGACACTGAGTGGCAGCGGCCCGACAGGTTCATTACGAATTTCTGGGCTGAGAAAACAGGAGAAACGCAAAAAAAAAAGAAGAAACAGAGACCTCCCACCGAAAATCACGGCAGAGTGCTTCCCAGCCATCAGATCACAAATGATCTGATGGTGGTGGTTGCATCAGCAGTGAACAAAGTAACCGCCACATTTGCTGGAATAAACTTGACTTCTGTCCGCACTGATCCTGACACCCTCCATATACTCCGTGATTGAAGGAGCGCTCCACCCAATGAGATAATTGCGCAACAGCAAGTAAAATACTGAAAATCTTCTATCCAGTGGGCTAAGGCCGATCCCACCCTCCTTTGGGGTTGGCCTTACCCCCAACCGATAGAAAAGATTCTGGCGGGAAGCTTTCTTTGCACGGGCATGCCCAGTGTTAAGGAGAGGAGGAGGGGAACGAAGATCTCCTAATTTTTTCGGGTAATACAAGTAAAACACTGATCGTGGGATCACGACTACTGCACGGCAGGATTGGGGTCACTCAACTGCCCCACAAACTCGTTTCTATCCTATCCCACTGCTAGTGGGACCTCGCCCCTGATGAGTCGGTGAGAGCCCGACGAAACAGCCTGGTACAGTCGTCCCTCTTCTCTCTCTCTCTCACGCGTGCCCGTACCTGGACATTATCGGTGCCGGGTCTAGGCGCAGTGCTAGACTGTCGGGGTTGTAACCCCCTGACGAGTTGGTGAGATTCCAACGAAACAGTCTAGGTATGGCCCGTTCGTTTTCGACGAACAGGCGTTTCCCAGTAGTTCGTAAAAAAAAAAAAAGGAAATCTAAAAAGGAAAACAAAGAATCTAGAAAAAATCTAAAATAAGGAATCTGAAAAATCTAAAGAAAACAAATCCAACTTGCGGCTGCCCGTTTTCAACAGTCTGGAAACGACTGGGGATTGTAAGTCCCCAACTTCTTCCTACAGCGCCATCTGGCGCGTTACTTAAAAATATTGTTATTATTATTATTATTATTTTTTGTTTTAGGGAAGCCGTTGGCATGAGCCAACGGCCCCTGCTCACGCCTTGCTGGCGTTTCCCCCCCCCTTTTCCGATACTGGGACCTGGGTTCGATCCCCACAGGGATCGAAAAAAATTTGGACCATTTCTCGATTTACGCGTGTCATCCTTGCGTAGGGGCCATGCTAATCTCGCGCGGCCAATCTCGGCCGTGCGATCTTCGTGATCGTGCGGTCGAGATCGACCAAGCCCTGCAAAAAAAAGGCAGCTCCAAAAGGAGCTGCGCCGAGTAAGGCCTGTTGGATTCGATCCCGCTGTGGGTCGGGTGACAATTTGGCATGTTTCCTACTGGGCTAGCTCCTTTCACGGGAGCTAAGCCTGCAGCTCTTCTATTTGAAGTGCTGCCCCTAGTAGGATCCTCTGCTGTGGCTTAGGGCAGGCTCAGCCTGCCACATTTTGCCAAAAAGTTGTGCCGCTGTCGACCCAGTGCCGCCCCGGCCTGGCGGCTCGTGGCTCGGCAGCCCACAGCTAGCCGTCATGATACCGGACCCATCGTGCAAAGCAAACCCCGTGGATAAAAACAAAAACCCTAACTTTCTCTGCGTCGCGGCCTTGTTCCTAGTGCGGCCGCCCTTTTCAAGCCTATTTAGGCCCTGAATCGCGCAGCCGCGCGACATTGTTTTAGGTGGAATAGGTCTAGCTTTATTCTTTCCACGGCCACGCATCTCTTCGATCTTGTCGGAAATTACGGACGAGTCGGAATATTCCAATAGCATATCTATTTCGTCAGACCAAATTCTACAAACTTACATCAAAATTCGGACTTCATTCGACATCGAAAATACAGGGCAGATACCCTTGTCAGGGTTTCTGTTCTGACACCAGGATCAGATTCGGAGGCTACCGCCCGGTACTAAGGAATTTGCGATACAGCACTAAAGGGAAATTGGTACAGTAGTTGAGAACCTCAGGAAGGCCCAGCATACAGTCCTGAAAGGTCAAGGTCGTAGCTGCTACAGTTCCGAAACGCCAAGTCCACAGACTTCCGGAAGGTGGCCTTTCGAATGATGCTTACAGCAGACCAGGGGCAAGTGGGCAAGTGGTGAGTCCAACCTTGCTTAGTCAGCGGTACCCGGTCCCAGTCTCACTTAGTCCAGTCAGCAAGTACCATGTGGGACTGTGTGCACTATGGGCCCGGTGGAAAGGGGGGCAGACCAGCGACCAACAGAAGTATAAATCAAGAGGCACCGTCCAGCCATTCACTCATTCCTGTGTGAGCCATGCGGAAGCGCTGCCCAGGCGTCTTGTGCGAGGTGGTCTGCAGATGCCCGAGGTCGAAGTGGGCCGTGTAGAAGATGGTGCGCCATAGTGTTAGCAGTAGCCGGCGGCCATAGCTGCCACAGCTAGTGTTGGGAGTAGTGTGTGTATGTGGGCTACAGAGTGGAGTGCGTGTGGGATATTCAGGGTGATCCAGAGGTGAGTGTGTGTGAACAGTGGTGGTGGACACAGTGTCGGCAGTGAGCAGTTGGGCGCTCAGGCGCCATAGCCTGTTTGAAGCGCGTTTGCATCTGAACTGTGTTCTTGGCCGTAATATCTCTGAGCTTTGTGTGGGCGCCTGGCGCCAGTTGTTTTTCAATCTGTTTGCATGCATATGACTTGAAGAAGACAGCGAGTCTGATTGCAAAAAACTGTATCCAACTGCAATCACGGCCAAAGCTTGTTTTGTTTTTTGGGGCTATTTTTCTTTTTTGGTTCTTTTTTTGTTCTTTTTTTTCCCAAATGGCTCCAATCTATTGGTGGGGACCTGTCTCTTATACACATCTAGATGTGTATAAGAGACAGGTACTCCAAAAGTGTATCCAACTGCAATCACGGCCAAAGCTTGTTTTGTTTTTTGGGATGTAAGGATTTGACATGGGCCCAAAAATTTGAAAACCTTCTGACGCTCTGACCCTGCCCCGTGCCCGCCTTTTACTTCTTGTGGCAACAAGTAATTTTGCTGCAAGGCTGAGGCTGTGTACTGGTGGTTTAGCACGGTACTCCGACTTGGTGTTTCCTGAATGTACCTGAGCGAGACTACAGCCAGATTCAATTGAAGAAGTCCCATGTGCGTGTATGCTCTCAATCAATATCACTTCATGTGAGTGTTAACTGCTTGTTCTGGATTTGCAGAGCCTCAGGTTGTGGTGCAGGCAATTGATACATTCTTTGAGTGGCTGAGTAATGATGGCGCCACGGCCGGTTAACACGGTACTCAGACAAGGACTTTTTTTCTCTTTTTTTTTCTGGAAAAGGGCGATGGCCTTGAGGTATCATCATCGAACTGACGGGCCCTATGAAATTCAGAATTGTAGCATATTACTCATCTGGCGTTCGACAGCAGGTCTGTATTTCAACAGTTCAGTGTTGTGCCAACGGAGCTAGGCCAGTTGGTTCCGACTAGGACATCACTGGATGTATCTGAGTGGAATTGCAGCCGGATTCTGTCAAGAAAATCCCGAAAAATCGATATTATGGCATGATAATGTGAATGTATGCTGGCTGTTTCGGCTTTGCAGAGACTCAGCTTGTGGTGTGGGCCATCGACACATTTCTTGAGCGTCTGAATAACCGGAAGGCAAATGGGGAGCGCATTGATGAAAGCGAAGAGGCTGCAGCGCTTGACGCGCTAGGCCAGATTGGATTAAGTAAGTTTTTCTTACCAAGAAGTTCAGAATTGTAATTTCTCTTTTGCCGCGCTAGGCCAGATTGGATTAAGTAAGTTTTTCTTACCAAGAAGTTCAGAATTGTAATTTCTCTTTTGCCGCGAAAAGTTTTTCTTTCCGAGAAGGGCAAGTTTGGTTTTCCCGCGTAGAGCTTTTCTTTCCAAGAGCAGTGAGTTCCTTTTTTTTCCCCATCCCATGTAACTAACTGCTGATAAACGGACCTGAGTTCGAGGCTTCGAGCCCTTTTCAGATAAGATGAACAAGCGGACCCGACGCGGCTTTGGCGAGAAGAGCAAAGATTGTAGGAACTGAGGTGGGGGGATGAGAGAGAGGGAGATAGAGAGAGAGGCAGAGAGAGTGAGAAAGAGTGAGAGAGAGAAAAGGATGAAAAAGGTGGACTTCAGGAATACGAAATATGTATATACATGTATCCTTTCCGTTGTGTGCCACATGGCACGCTGGTGTGCGCTGCAAAAAAAAAAAAAAAAAAAAAAAAAA